ATTGCGTGGTCTCCACATTGCTTTCTAACCACTGGCTCCTGCTTTCCTTCCGCAAGAGAAAATTGCAACAAGTCTTCACAGTAAGGTTTTTTGTTTGTTTCTTAAAAAATAAGTTGGTTCTCCTAATGGTTTTGCTAAAGGACCCTCACTTATCTGGCAATCAAAAATGAAACTTCTCATTGGGTATTTTCAAGTTTGCCACAGGGAATCAGCTGCCAGTTTACTGCAGTGTAGAACACTGCACGAGATTCTGGGATTGGCATTAAAATGCTAATTTCAAAGGTCGGGTAAAGCTGGTGCTCACGTTTTCCGTGCCTGCACTCACTGCAAGGAGAACAAAGACCCAGCCAGAGGAGGCAGCGGCTGACACTCATCCCAACCCTGTTTCCCTGAGACAATTTTGGAACCATGCCTGAAATGCCGGAGAACATGGAACAGGTAAGAACTAGCGGTTCAGGAAATGAAGCATTCTGAAGTTAGTTTCTGTAAAAGCATCCAGTGAACGTCTGCTAAAAGCTGAAAGGGTGTATAAAAAAATCAGAAATGGGTGTCATTCATTTCTTTGAAACGTGAAAGAAGCAGCCAACTTTAATTACTGACCCTGTATAGAGAGCTCAGCTAAGTCTCATTAATTGACAAAAATAAAATGTAGAATAGCAGTTTCATTTACCAGATTAAATGCAATGTTGTAGGTAAAGGTTTCGTATAAATGAGGATTGTTATCTGCAGTGTGTACTCCAGTCTTTGTCTTGGCATGAATTGAATCTGCTAACGTTAACGTTTAGCTCCAGGTTGCTCTCTTTAAATGTATAGCCATAACCAGAACACTTAACTTGGATGTTGTTTGTAGAACGGTGGCCTTTTTATTCACATAGAAACTTTCATCTTTATGCCCCTAGAACCATACCCAAGTTTTACCTGCAGGTATCAGACCATATTCTCAAATGTGGGCAAGTAACTTTTTGTTTCTCATTCTAGACAATGCTGCTCTGAGAATTAATATGCTAATTGCATGTGTATGTCCTTAAATCTTCTTCACATTGAATACTTAATTTTTTTCCCAAGAAATATTAGATTGCATCACAGATTGCAACTGGAGACTTTAAAAAAAAAACCCAGTTCTTAAAGAGAGGAGAATTAAGAGGATCTTGAGTCTTCCCCTCCATTTCCACCTCCCCTTTTCTTTGTTGTCTGCAGATCATGCATGTTTAGGGACGGGGCAGTCCTTTCAAGGACTTTCTAAATAATATTAAACCGATTAACAGTGACATCCTGGATTAAAACAAAAATAAGAAAGCGAGGGGCCTTGGGCTTTCATTACTGCTCCAAAGAAACTTTGTTTACATAAATAAGGAATGAGTTCTTGGTGGTTGGGTAGGAAGGAATGTCACGGGACTCAGAGGTGAAAAACTTTCTTAAAAGGCGGCTTAGGCTTTAGCTCTAAGATTAGACCGAAAAGGATTTTGAAAATAAGGTCTTTTTATACAGATTCAAGCAGCAGTCAGGTTTGTGGGCGACTTTTAGGCCTTGGTATCCCGTGTGTCTGGACAAGAACACTCAGGCTGTTCCCGGAAAAGCTGGCGAACCCTACGCGGTTTATGCTGTTTTGTTTTGTTTTTCTGTGTGTTTCACAGGCATCCTGGCTGGCACGGGAATTTGCGGTTTTGAAATGAAAGGGAAATTCAGTTGCGTGTTAAGTTAGTCTCAGCACTTAAGGCTGAATCGGATTTGTCACTTAAAAAAACCCAACATGATGCAGGTGGTCTAGCATAACTTTCACCCCTTGCTTGGTTCCTTCTTGAACTTTCTGGGGTTGTGGAGGCCAGGCTGGTGCAGCCGATGCTGCAGCCCTTAAGGCGGTGCTGCTCAAAGAGTGTCCTGACTCCCGTTAAATCCACTAAAATGGGGAGTCCCAGGCTCGACTACCACAGATTCTCATTCTGTGATTGTTGATAAAGTCCGAGAATCTGCATTTTGAAGAGGCACCCAAATATATTAGGTTGGTGCAAAAGTAATCGCGGTTTTTGCAAATTTTAAAAAACATTTTAAACCGCAATTACTTTTGCACCAACCTAATCGTTCATCCCCCATCCTTGTACCTGCCCGTGTCCGTCGTCGCCTCCATCCCCTTCATTTTTAACTAGTTTAAAAATAGTTGGGCATCTTTGGAGTTTCACACATACTACTTTCTAGCATCTCAGAAAGACAAACGGGTTCTTGAGGTGTTAATGACTTAGATACCAACACTTTTATTCATATGCTTTGTCTCCTTCTAAACCTCTAAAAAACACTTCTAATCTTCCAGAGATGCTTTCTCCCTTTCGCCCCACTTTAAATGTTTTATCTCACTTTATATATTACATGCCCAGTTGATTCTTATGGGCTGAGCACAGTCTACAAACTGGAAACTGCAAGCGACCCAATTCAATCCTTCCTTAGTCAAGGAAGAAAACCCCCAAAAACCCACGCAAAAACAAATCCCTCAAAACAAAACTTGTATACACCGCTTAAGGCCAAAGCCTTTGTTTTGTGTATCGCTTTAAGAGTTGCCGCGTGGGCTGAGAGCCACCCGAGCACGCCCGCCTCCTTTTTGGTTGGCGGACCGTGTCCAATCAACGGGCATGACCTTGGCGCCGGAAGCCGGAAGCGGTGAGCGGGGGGCCGACCTGGACCTATAGGAGGCGGGCCGAGCGCGACGGAGCTGCGGCCCCGGCGTTCCAGGACTGGAGGAAGCGGCGGGCGCTGAGGCGGCCGCGTGGAGACCGCGGGCATGGTGGGGCGGGAGAAGGAGCTCTCCATCCACTTCGTTCCCGGGAGCTGCCGGCTGGTGGAGGTGAAGGAGTCGGCCCGGGGGTCGTGTGGGGACCGGGGGGTGCAGAGGGGGACGACCCGGCCCTCAGGAGCTCGAGCTCCCTCCCTGGCGCCTCCTGCCTGAGTCGGAGCCCCCGACGCTGAGTCCGCCCGGGGCCGCCCTCCAGCCCTGGGAGACGGGGCGGCACCGTGGAGTTTGTTTACCTCGGCGCACACCCTGTAGTGTTTTCTCTTCCAGCCGCTGCGACCGGAAGTGAGCAGATCGGCTTTGGGTTTTTGCGTCTCCGGTCTCCCCTCGGGAATCAAGAGGGCTTTCCGGAGCTGTTGTCAGTGTTGATTTGTTTTTCTTCTTCTTTCTTTCATCCTTTTTCGTGTCCCTTGATCGTGCCTGTGTGTATCTCTTAGGAGGAAGGGGGGAAGGTGGCTTTTCAGCAATACGAACAGCGTTGGCGACGGCAGCGGACTGAGCTCNCTGCTCAGCTCGGGCTGACTCGAACCGCTGTTGCTCAGAGCTCAAACTCTTGAGCGAGCTCTTAACCAACTGAGCCACTCAGCCGGCCCTTCAACAGATCTTAATTGTTATAGTTTGATGAGCTTTGATAAACATAGATACCCATGTTACCCACACCCCGATCAAGATATAAAACACTTCCAATACCTCAGAAAGTTCACTTACGGCCTTCAATCCCTACCCTTCCCCTAAGGCAAGATAATTCCTTTCACCATAGATTGGTTTCATCTACTTTAGAATTTCATGTAAATGGAATTATGCTCTTTTGTGTCCAGCTTCTTTCTTAGTAGCATGATTTCGAGATTCATTCACATAGTTCTTTTCTTTGTATATCTGAGCAATATTCCACAGTATGGCTATACCCAATTTGTCTATTTATCTGTTGATAGATGTTTGGGTTGTTTCCAGCTATAGGTTTGAATCAAGCTGCTATCAATATTCTTGCACAAGTCTTTACAGATAAATGCTTTCATTTCTCTTGGGTAAGTACCTACCTAGACATGGAGTTACTGGATCGTGGAGTTAGGTGTAAGGCCATCGTTAGGCCAGGAGCAGAAACCATCTTCTCTTCAAAGCCATCTTGTACCTTGTACCTGCAGGCCTGCATTTGCCTTAGGCCTGGACAAGCTGCCTGGAATGTTGGAATGTAGAAACCATCTTATCCTAAAAGCCATCTTGTCTTGCTTTGTATCTTGTACGTGCTGGCTTGTGTCTGTCTCCTAGGAGCTTGTAATCAGCGGGTCTGGGCCAGGATGTGGAACCCCAAGGCTTGGTCATGCCCTGAAACCCTTTCATGCAATGAAAAAAACCCCCAAGGCACTGAAGGGGACCAGCCTCGTTTACCCCCTCCTATAAAATTCCATACCTTTTTGCTCGGTGAGGTTATAGTCTTCTAACCTGATCTACAGCAGCTCAAACACACCAAATACATTCTAATAGACCAATTTTGGTCTCCTGCGATTCATTCCTCTGGCTGAGCCTAACAGTGTGTGTATGTTTATTTTTCAATAAGCTGCCAGCTCTCTGAGGTGGTTGTATTATGTTATACTCCCACTAGCAATAAATGAGCATTCTGGTTGCTTAAAATGCTTGTTACCATGTGATGCTCTCAGTCTTTTTAATTTTAGCTATTCTGTTAGTATGTAATGGTATCTCCATGTGATTGTAATTTACAAGCACATTTCCCTGATGTTGAGCATCTTTCTCCCCGAAGGGCCACTTAGCCTTCGCTTATATACACTATTTGGTTAATTACATGCTGATTTCTTTTTTTTTGCAGTTGGCTAAACCTATCTGATGGGGTTCATGTCAAGCCTCCTGGATTAGAGCTGTGTGTGCAAAAATTACTGTGCCACGTTTTAACCTTTAGCAAGAATAGCATTTAGTAAGGGTGATTATTGGCCATTCTATGCCTTCACTTCATGAAGTATCTGCTCAAAACTTCTGTCCATTTTAAAAATGATTTAAGGTGATTGAATGTTAGTTCTTTAAATATTCTGAATATAAATCCTTTGCAGATATGTATAGAGATTATTTTTTCTAGTCTGTTTTTCTTATTTTCTTAATATCTTTTGGTGAACAGGAATTTTAAATTTTGTTGTATTTTAATTTATTAACTTAAAAAAAACATGTAAGTTCTTCACTACTCATAGACTCTGCATGCCATATAGTTTACCACGTGCTATGTAATCTAAATGGATAGCATAA